GATCAGGGTGAGTGGTGTTCACTTCAGTAGTTCGAAGGACCACCCTCATCACACGCCCTCGCTCCCGTGCAGAAACATGCCATTTCTGCGCTCTGCCCTAGTCCATTGCCAGGTGGGGTGACCTCTTGCTCAACGGGTATGAAGCGTTGCTTCGCAGTCGGGAAATTGTTCGCGCGCTCTAGCAGACTATTTCCTAACTATATGACTAGCTGGCCACAGGCATATAGAGAAAGGATCAAGCCGCCTCGAGGGACGCATGCGCTGAGAAAGTTAAGAGAGTCGACGCGTCGCAACACTACTAGGAAGTGTGCGGCAAGGCAATCGCAGCGCTGGTAGGCGTCACGTGAAGTCGCGCCCGCAAATGACGATATTTCTTGGTCGCACATGGTGGGCAAAAGGCAACGTATGACCGAAAGTAGCGATGAATGCTCGTTTTGTAGTTTGCGTGGATTCCGTGCTTCAATCGACACGCTAATACAGAATAACAAAACGTCGCGTCCTACGCCACCGCGATGGAGCGGCAACCACGCGCGATGGAGCGACAACCTTCGGTTGTCTTGACCACGCGCATGGAGCGGCAACCTACGGTTGTCTTGACCGTCTCTTGCTACTTTGAGTGGTCTTTCGCCACACTCGCAGCCACTGGACAGTACACTCCATGCACCTAGCCCCACTCACAGTGAATATCGGCGCACGTACTGAAGCATCGTCCATGTCAAGTCGAACTATCTGCGCGCTGTCACTCATGTAGACAGCTAAGGGTGGCACCACTTGTTTGTTACTACGTTGCTGACACATTCGTCCTATTAATTCTTCAACGCGGCTAGTGAACACATCCGCTCAACCTCAGAAGTCTACAACTTACTTTTCGATGCTAATGGAAGTAGAGCCATTTGCTTTTGTGGGACTCTGAAAGAGATCCGGCAGTTGTTGCACTTTGCACAAGCAGTGTGAAGTTCACCACCTTGCGGAACTTGTGAGTCAAAATGAACCATTCCTAAAAAGTATGCGATTTATCGGCCTCCTGTATCATGCTCCCATGAGATACGGTGAACAAGTAATCATCCTCAAATTTTTCGCTATCCTGAATTGATCAATTGAGCGCACTCGACAACAAATTCATAAGCTCCCCACCTTCCAAAATAATGGCTCCTTCGACGACTGTTCTCTATATTCCTGGATCCAAACCAACTCCAATGCCCTACACCACTGCGATAACGAAGTGATCAACTTAAAAAGCTGCTTAGCTGCTTAGAATTCACGCCTTACGATAGTGTAGTGTTATGTCCCTGGTCTGAATACATCTAAAACGCGATGAACACCACCTTGGCGAAAGAGCGCTGACGTGAGCGGATATTCCGTCAGTGGGTGCGAACACTGGCAACATGAGCCAGTGGCAAACCTTTCCTCAGTCACCTTAAAGACAATTCACGCGATCCAGTGACCTGGGGCCTTGTGTGCTTGGTAGCGAGGTCCGCACTCGTAGAGAGCGAACCACTCTGCCACCATTAGGTTGTGCATAAGTTCTTATACACGTGTTTGATCCTCTCCTATTTCGTTCGCATGGATGTTGGTATTACGTCATCACGTGTGCGTGACGTGTACATTATACTCTTTCATTACACTAGCTATCACTCACCGAGCTTGCATTTGCAGGCCACAATGTCGCACAATTACCACTGTGACAGAATGTACCTGCGCCACTGCCTGGTTTTGCTTCACGATTCACAAAAGAAGCTTCACTTTCTCAACTCGATGATCACTGGAGATGAGAAGTGGGTCCTCTACGATAACCCTGTGAGGAAGCGGCAGTGGGTCGACAAAGGAGAACAGCCAGAAGCCACCCCAAAGGCCGACCTTCACCCCAAGAAGGTTCTCCTGTCCTGTTGGTGGTCCAGAAGAGGCATGGAGTACTGGGAGCTGCTGGAGAAGGGACAGACGATTGACGCTTCCACATATGTTACCCAGCTGCGGAAATTGAAAGATCACGTCGACCGTACTCGTGGATCGAATGCGGAAATCTACTTCCACCATGACAACGCCCGACCTCACACCGCAAAGGCGACCCAGGCCGAGCTGGAGAAGTACGGATGGCTGATGGTCGCCCAGCCCCCTACAGCCCTGACCTCGCTCCTTCTGACTACTGGCTGTTCAGCCACCTGCAGCGCTCTCTGGACGGAAAAAAGTTCGAAACAAAGGATCAGGTCAGAAAGGCACTCGACGACTTCTTCAAGTCCCAGCCCCCGTCGTTCTGGAAGGAAGGAATCGACAAGCTGCCTGAGGCGTCGAGTAGTGGATGGTGATGGTGCATACCTCTAATCTTCAGGTTGGTTCGCTATTGAGATATTTACGAAAAAGTCGGGGCAAAGAACTTATGCACCAACCTAATACAACGGCGAAATCAAGCGGTACTACTTACTTATACGTTCAAAGAAAACTGAAGAAGGTTGACTTAATGGCCTTGTTAAGCATACAAGATTCCTGAAACTTGCATTCTAGAGAGCTCTCCCTTTGGTTGTATTTGTGGACGTGTGCTCGTGCGGGGGCAGGGTGGGGGCGCCAGGTCGCCCTGCCTCCTTCTCCTGCATGTGCTCAGCCGGAGCTGAGCACATGTATTGGAGGGAGGCAGAGGGAAGGGGTCGCGGGGAGGGGGTACAGTGAGGGGTGCGTAGCGCGCGTTTCAGTAGAAACGCGCACCAAGGGATGAGGAAACAACCGCTAACAAAACTGCAAGCCAATCTATGTTACCGTAACGAACTAAGTTGTTTTGGTTGTGATAACACTCTCCACTATATAAGAAAACCACTACACTCCGAGCCATTGCACGGGTTGCTCGCGTGGCAGTTGGACGTAAGCGCGTGCAAGGGGCAAGGTGGGGGGGGGTGGAGTGGCGAGTACGGAATGGGGTGAGGTGAGGAAGGTGGGAGTTAGTATCGAGTGACCCCCTTCTCCCATCCTCACTCCCTTGCGCGTACTCAGTCGGATCTGAGCCCATGCAGGGGAAGGAGGCATATGGATCGGGCAAACTGGGTACAGTAAGGGGATGCGTAGCGTACGCTTGAATAGGAGCAGGCGGCAAGAGAGAAGGAAAGAACCGCTAGCAAAACTGCAAGCTAATCCATGTTACAGCAACGAACTAAGAAGTTGTTTGGATTGTGAATCGCTCCCGCTATCTAAGCCAACCACTGTGATAGACTCTGTGCTATTGCAGGAGCTGCTCGCTTGGGAGCTGGACGTGAGCACGAGCAAGGCGGTGGTAAGAACAGTGGCGGCGTAGTGTCCCTATGTTGCATGGCGGCTGCATACCACGTGCGGGAGTGGGCGCCGGTTGAATAGGGTCAGTGGGATATGATGTGGTGAGGGGGATACCAGATGAGAACGGCGATTTCGCGATTAGGAGCACATAGCGCCTGCGGCGGTAAGGCGTCTACGGTTGCGACAAGATGAGAAGAAATCGGATTGACCGCGATGTTACTCTATCAAATTGTGGTAGCGTTTTGATAGTCATAACACCCTCCACAACATAACACAACCATTTAGTGCACTCAGAACCATTGCACGGGCTATTCGCGTAGCAGCTGAGCGTGACCTGTAGGGTGGCTGAGCGGGGAATAGCTGAGGTTAGTTTGGGGATAGGTGAGGTGAAGGGGTACCATATTGGCGCGACCGACGCTCGCCTGAACAGGAGCACGCAGCGACTGCGGAGACCGAAGCATCCATGGCTGTCATAAGATGGGGAGGAGAGTAATCGATTATCCATGACCAGATTTTGAACTTTTCATTATGAAAGTGCCCTGCGATCATATGGCGCGTTTCTACATTTATTTGATTAGAAGACAGCGGTTAGTCACCATGAGAGCATCATAAATGCCTAAGTATCGCCCTGCTTATGCCTTACTTTGCTCCTTTCTTTCACGAGCTAAGAAGTGAGGCTCTAAAGCAGTTGCATGAGCCCGGCGAAGCCGGGCTTCCAAAAAGGAGGAGAAATAAATAAATAAATAAAGACAGCCCCCGCGCTCAAGTAGTACAAGGTCATCCTTCCTTGAGCAAGTAGTCCAGCCCCAAGCTAGAGGCTGCCCCACTCTCGCGACTTTTTAGTGAGCGAGCGAGCCGCTGAAAGTTCTAGTTCTAACGCCCGCCCAGTTGGACCGCCCACTTGCTAGATGCCCTCTGACGGAGGGCCGCTCAGTTGTTCTTTGTCGGGCATTAATCGGAATTGCATGTCTTTTTTGCTGACCACGCTCGTGCCCATAAATAATTCTGCTCTCTATTCATTTTATTCATTAGGAGCACATGCAGTCAACTGCAACCCATCTCGCAAGGTAAAACGCGTAAAAATCATGAGTGATGCAATTTTGTGGTGCAAAAGCTCGACATGCACTGAGAGATGCACGCTACCGTAACCCCAAATTCGGACGCCGAGTTTTTGAGATTTTCTTTTTTTAAGTGAATACCGTCCGTGTTTTTGTTGTTTTTCGTATTCTTTTCTCTGCACCGGATGATATCCACTACTGGGAGATGCGAAAAAGCGATTTGTGAGCCAGGGGTTGCACAGAGACCGCAGGGCGGTGTGACTGTCAGGGAGCGATTTTGTTTATGGTGTTCTTGAGGGCTCTTCTTGCTTTTTTTCTTCTTTGGGGAATTACTTATCAGCTACTGTTTCATAATTGAACAGCAACTATCCATGACACTTTTATCGCGGGAACTGTCTTTAAGTCAAGCACGCCCGCCTCACACTAACAATATGATTTTCGTCCGAAACAGAGAAACCTTCGTAATCGCTAGCCCTGGCTGCGATCTGAAGAATTTGTGTAGCATTTTTTGCACATTACAGTGGCGAACTGAGAGACTGAGCAACTCCATGAGGGACGGGAGTATAGGCAATGAAGATAGGTCAACAATTGAAAATGGAGTTTATAATCATTTATAAAACGCGAAGATCAGTAGCTATTATGATTGTGACGTTTTTCATTGATGCTTCTTTCTCTTGAATACCGTCTTCACATGAAACATGGATAACCACCGCCCACTTGCCGTCCGTGTGGCTGATTCATATTTCCAATTTTTGAAACGAATTCTCCAAATGGATCATCTCCGCCACCTTCTTTGGAACCTTTCTTTTCGTTCGAGCCGAATCTTTCTTGTGAACCTGCTTCCTTGGACCCAACTTTCTCTTTGGAACCTGCTTCTTTCGAGCCAACTTTCTCATTAGAACCTTTTTGATGTAATGCTTCCTTTGAACCCTCTTTAGATTTTTCTCTAGATCCGCTTTCTACAGAGAACCTTCGTCGTCTGGGTCTTACATGGTCTTCTGACTGTGTTTGCAGTTCCAATGCTGCTTGCCGTACACGTTCGTCCCATGTTTTTTCGAGCCATTTCTAAAGATTTATCCTCTTTTCAGTACTGATTTTGTTTCCGCTTCACATGTAGTCAGATATCTACAGTAATGTTGGTAATCTCCTCACCTTGTGGTGCTCCTTGCG